AAGACTTGTGGACTTTAACTCCCAGAATTCCTCCTATCAATCTTCATCTTGATGATGTGCGGATGGGCAGGGAGAGGGAGCAGGAACCGGTTTTAAACGGCACTGTAGATTTGTGGAACCTCTTCTATAGAAGAGGTTAGAACTGGCAGGAACCCACCCCTGCTTCCGAGGTGGGTAAAATGAGGACCCAGATTGTTGGGGTTAAGAGGCTGACTCTGTCAACTGCTTAGAGAGGGCTGTAAAGCACTGTGAAGTGGTATATAAGTTTTAAGTGCTATCGCTATGGGAAATGAATCTGCAGAAAGAAATCCGTTTTTTTAAAACTATCCAATCAAAAGGGTGTTAGGAGCTGTTCCCAGGCAGGGAGGAGAAATTAAATTATTTGCCACAGATTTTAAAGATGACAGGCTAATAACACCCAAAACAAGCCTTGCTCCCTTTAAAGAAAGCAGCAGTGAGAACACAACAATTAGGATGGGGGAATGAATGAGGGAGCAACTTCTGCATCTCCTGCCTGCAATTTTCTTTCCAAAATCGCTCCCTTTTTTGTTTTTATTTTAGCCCTCTTGACTTTACAGTCAACAGTTTGCATTTTGCTATGCTCCGAATGAGTTCGTGGGTTGTTGCTGCAGGTAAACACCATTGAGATGCCTTTGCTGCAGTTAACCCTTCCTTATAAATCTAATTAACCCGTACACCTGTCAATCAAAATAAACATTTTTTTACAGCATCCTTACTATGGTCTCAGCACTACTACTCTGACTTGAAGAATGCTGAACGCTGCCCCTTTCAGAAAACTGCAGATTAGAAGAAAATTAGTAGAAGGATATCGGAAATCCCCCGCCACTTCTGTAAACTTTCCCTCCTTGGTTTAGCTGCTCTGGATACGTATGTGGAACTGCTTCTCCCATCATTTCTTACCAAAGGGGCCATGCCCATGCTGATAGAGGATGATGGGGTTTGTAGTCTTAGGCAACTAGAAGTAGTTTGTCCAACAGGATCCTACGAGCTTCATGCATGAGCTTGTTGGATTTAAGAAAGATTCCTATGCAAAATCTTTGAGCATCTATTCACTCCACAGCTAATGTGACGGGTCAATAAACTCTGAAATCCTGCTCTCTCACCACTAATGAGGTACTAATTTCATTCTATGAAGCCTTAGTAAGTCCACACCTAGAGTACTGCACCCAGTTTTGGTCATATGCTATAAAAAGATGTTGAGACTCTAGAAAAAGTGCAGAGAAGAGCAACCAGGATGATTAGGGGATTGGAGGCTAAAACATATGAAGAACGGTTGCAGGAACTTGGCATGGCTAGTCTAGTGAAGAGAAGGGCCAGGGGAGGAATGAGAGCAGTCTTCCAACATTTGAGGGGCTGCCACAGAGAGGAGGGGGTCAAGCTATTTTCCAAAGCACCNCATAAATTACGTGGGGTCAGAGCTGGCTTCACTTGGGAACACGCTGACATGAAGCTCCTAATAAATAACTGGATTTCTTTTGAAGCTTGGCTCGAGGCTAATGATTCAATTAAAGCATCTGTTGGAACCCTGACTGCGAGCACATATTACAAATAATGTACCATACATGATGAATACGTCATATTCTCCCAAACACCTTTGACTATGCTGTTTTTCATTTTGAAACGTTACCTTTAGGACTTATTCTCAGATCTTCTCCGGTGTCATTTCAACACATTTCAGTATGTTCCAACAGAATTGATAGCAGCTACCTATCAGGGTTCATGACTCTGCTTCCTGTCATTCCAAAACCAATACATGGTATGATTAAAAACCAATACAGTTATGCATGTGGTGGTGTGCAAATGTATATGCAAAGAATTGCAACGCCCCATAATTTAAAACAAAAAAGCAAATTTCCTCCAAATTTCAAAAAGTTTATTTTTTTTTTATAAATTGGGCAAGGGCTGGGGAAGAGAAGAGCAGAGGGAGAATGCAAACCAGACAATATGAATAAAGCAACACATGTACTTATACATAGCTTTTAAAAATGTATTTCTTCTTGATAGTTGAGACTCGCTTTTCGGGTTCATCCCATATTGGACCATAAAAGCGAGTCCATTCACAGAGAGCTCACAATGTCTTGGCTTAAGAAGGGAGACCTACCCAGAAGAGAAAATTGATCACGCGCTGTTAGCATCACCTGAAAGCAGTGTGGCTTAACTCTTGGACTGGCTGGGGAATTCTGGGAATCGAAGTCCACACATCTTAAAGCCAGAGGTGGTATTCAGCCAGTTCTGACAGGTTCTGGAGAACCAGTAGCAGAAATTTTGAGTAGTTTGGAGAACCGGCAAATAGGCTGGCCGCGCCCACGCAGCCGCCCAGCTGATCTTCTTTTGTTGCCTTGCACAGGAGAACGGAGCTGGAAAGCAGGTTAGTGGGGTGGGTGAGGGAATGGGGATTTTGCAATAACTTTCCCCCAGGAGTGGGGAGGGAATGGGAATTTTGCAATATCCTTCCCCTGCCATGCCCACAAAGCCACGCCAGGGGTGGGTTGCTTCTGGCATTACTGCTGGTTTGGTGCACGCGCAATTGTGCACTCACGTGTTCGCTTGGCTCGTGCGCGTGGGCATTTGACCACTAAATGCAATAAAATTTGCTCTGTGCATGCGCAGAAGCAAAGAACAAGATGGCAGCAACTACAGCACCGCTAGGAGAACCGGTTTAAGGGCGTGGCAGGCTTGGTTCACTGCCAGTTCCAGCAACCCAGGCCGCCAAAGTACTACCAGTTCAACTGAACTGGTCTGAACCAGTAGGAACCCACCCTTGAGCCACGCCCACAGAACCAGTAGTAGTAAATATGGAATCCCACCACTGCTTAAAGCCTCCCTGGTTGAAAAACACGGCCTTAAACTGTGACTTCTGTGAGTAAGAAAGGATGGCCAAAGAAGCAAATTTACACGGGGACAGATGAGGACTAGCCCCTGCTCTTTTGCCAACAACCAACAGACAGACTTGGGAGAGAAGAGGCCTGGTGGATGGATTATGGTCTCTGCAAGATCCTTTATTATCAGCTGAGAAAGAGTGGAGGCATGCATTGGTTGGCGTAGTAGGTGAACCTGAAAAGTGAATGAGCAAAGACTGCATTGGGAATTTTGGATTTTTTCCCCCTGCCCCTGAAGGACTGCATTTTGGCACAGAGGCAATTCAGGCAAAGCAATTCAGCTGTCCACCTCTTTCACACACGCACACAAGAGACACAGATGCACGTGGACATTTACACGCTCGATACAAAGAGACACATTTCTTTTTTTTCTTTTTTTTTTAGATCCGATATATGATGATGACACACTGGTGTGTGGGAGGTGGAGGGCTATATAGCAGAGGGCAGCTGTAGAGGTTCAGAGTGTGTAAAGCCAGGTTAAAATTTAACTGGCCTCTTTGAAGGATTTCCCCATGCTCCAAAACGGAACCCTTCCCAAAAACCAACCAATCAATCAAGGACAAAAAAGAAACAGGTTGCTCTGTTGTAGCTCTTCCGCACCGAGAGCTGTGAAGAGGGTCCGTAGGTCCCGTGCAAAGGCACCTACTAGGAGACTTTGATTTTGCCCTTCTCTGGGGCTGCATCTGCCAGCAACTGCTGCTCTTCCCCATTCACCGTCACGGTCCTCTTCTCCGGAGGCTGGTCTTCAGGCTGGCGTGCAATCAGCAGACGGCAGGTGAGCAGGATCCCGAAGACCAAGGCATGGGCGTAGCGCTTGAGGGGGTCCCCCACCAGTTGATGAAAGAAGAGCACGGCCAACACCAGCAGCAGCAGCACAAAGTTGGCTACGTCTTTGGGGCGGCCCGGGACCAGGGTCATGACGATCCCGCAGGCCACCTCCAGGGCTCCAATGCTCTTGCGGAGAATGATGGAGCTGACTCCCAACCTCTTCAGCATCGGCAGTGCTCTCACATAGGTCTTGTAGGCCCGCTTCTGTAAGCAAAAGAAGACGAGCACAGCATTCACAACTGGTTTGGACCCGAGTTATGGCTTATTATGTCCCCCTTGGGAAGGAGAAGGGGCACCATTTGGATCGGTTCTGGATCCAGTCAAACAGGAAATACCAATCATATCACATGGGAAGGAGGAGGGAATGTACAGTAATGAACAAAGGGATCTTCTTCCGTCCGTATTTGGTATGACAAGATTGGAGAAGGGGACTAAAGCTCAGTGGCAGAATACCTAGCCTAGATGAAGAAGGTTTTAGATTCTAGAACTTCCTATGGAACTCTTGCGCTGGTGTAGTCAGTAAACAATCTGGATGGATGGGTGGATGGATACAATAATGGATGGATGGATGGATTGATGGATGGATGGANCTCGTCAAACCTTGATCAAACCCTCATGTGCATGGCACAAAATAAGGGTAGTGTAGCATACAGGATGGTCACCTTAAAGGAAGTTTGTGTCTTCCCTGGCAGCCATTCGGGGGAGGAAGGTAAGGTCTCAGCATGGGACAAAGAAAGAGATGGTCATGGGGGAGGAAGTGAGGGGATTAAGGGCTCTGAAGGATGGAAAACGGGGTGACATGTGGCAAAGGGAGGACAGGCGGCAAGCAGAAGCAGGCCGGGGAAGGGGCATTCCCTGACCTGGGTGAGGAGAATGGTGAGTTGGCAGAGCCTGGGGCCTTGAGGAATGGTGTGTCTCTGGGCCCTGACCCAAAGCAAAGGGCAAGCGGGCAGCATGCTTACCTTTGGTGATCTGAGCAGGGCGGGTGAGGCATGGAGGCGACTGGCAAGGTGATTAGCTGGGCTGCATGATGAAGGCAACATATATAGCATGGGGGTGGGTGGGGCACGTGTCAAATGGGTGGGGAGAGTGTTGAGTGGGCAGACGGGGCCGTGGACGGGGCCAGGCATAGGTGGCATTTACCGGTTCAGTGAAGCAGTTAAAATTGCCGCTACCAGTTCACCCAAGCTGGTGCAAACCGACTGAATACCACCTCTGCCCTGGAGGCTACCAGAGATTCTCTGATAACAACAACCACACCCCCTCCCCAGCCATGAGGTCTAGACTGGTGCCACACTCGATGATTCACTGGGCACATTTCTAGGAGGGGAGCACTTCCCTCTGGAGCCAATCAGGTCTCAGTTACACAAGTCAGATGGCCTTCTCTTCAAGGATCAAATGCTTGATCATTTTCTGATCGGACATTCAAATCAGCAGCCTACGACCAGGGACGCCACAGATCTGCTGACCAGGTAAATGAGGTGAGTGCAAAGGGGCAGAACACGGGACTGGTACTAAACACGGAGGTCACATTCCCTGTGACTCCCCCCCTCTGCCTCCCGTGTCTCCCGTCACCCAACAGCACTGAAAAAGGTTATCCTCTTCTGCCTTCCCTGAGAACCATTCCATCCCCTGCCCCCAACACTCTTCCTTAAAAGGGGGGAAACCTCTTCCAACTAAGAAACTGTGAGGAGGCCCACTAGCATTTGCTCTCAGTGCCCTCAAACTCACACCATCCCTTCATCATCACGTCCAGCACCACCTCATCTCCCAACACCCTCTTAATACATCCATTCAATGCACAAATGGCACTCTCACCCACCAAGCAGGGAGCCATTCTTCCCTCCCAGCTCTCACTGAGGGGAGAGGGACCAACATACTCACCTCTCACCCAAGTTTTCCTTCCACGGGATTCCCCAATTACAAAACATCCAGTAGATTATGGAAGGCAGTCTGAAAAATCGCCAGAAGGCCTATTGGGCTTCACTAGAAATTGTCACAGTTGTGTAGTCCTACAATGTCTCTTGAAGTTCACACAGTTCCAAGATCCCACTCACCAGTTAAACCACAAAAAATCCCAACAGCAGCCTTCCACTCTCTACAGCATTATTAACCACATGAGTAGACCCAGCTGCCAACAGTGAAGCTTGTTTCTCCTATCAGCTCTGCCCCCGAGGTGGGTTGCTAATTTTTTAACTACCCGTTCATGCGCAACACCTTAGCACATTGGCAGAAGTGTCTGTGTGGGTTGGTGTAGCCTCCTACTGCTACTACTGGTTTGCCCAACCTGGGCCAAAGTGGCAGCAACCCATCTCTGCTCTGCCCCCATCAGAAGATCCAAGCCATCATTCAGAGCTGCAACTGTTGGCTCTGGGACTCTCAGATCAGGGTTTAGCTTCAGCTGATTACTGCACATTAAGACAGTTCAAAGAGATCCAGGGGAATCCAGGGGGAGTCCAGGGAAGCCACACAATTATAAATCATCCACCTCCTCTGCTCCATCTCTCTGTCTCACCTTCCAACTGCCCCTTTTGGACTCTCCACTCTTCAAGCTCCACTCTTCAAACTCTTTGACCTCCTGTAGGCCGAAAGGGAGCACGGGGAATTGGAAACATCCCAGAGGGCAATTAAACACAGTTTACCATTTGATCTGGACCTGGTAGTAAGCTTCCTGCAAGTCTAACTTAGTGAAGATTTTTCCTTTGGCTAAATGTGCCAAACATGTCCTTCATCAGGAGCAGTAGGTAGACATTTTCTATGCAAACTACATTTAGCTCTCTATAATCAACGCATAGGTGATGAGTCCCATCTTTCTTCTCCTGGAACAAAACCAGGGCTGCCACTCATGGCCTTGTTGGTTGCATAAATCCATGTTTTAAGTACTTGTCTATGAAGGTGCAAAGTTATCCTAGCTCAAGTGGAGTCACGGAGTAAAGTTTAGCCCCAGGAAGGCTTTCAATACTGCAGTCTGTGGGGTGATGGGATGGTAGCGCACCGGAACCTTTCTCACTAACCATCGCACACGTCACAGTGGGAGTCTGTATTCACTTACTGAGGGTTCCCGAGCCACTGGTCCCAGCTCCCTTTGCTCTTTGTTTCTCCTATCCCCAGGTTTTGGGATCTTTTCCTCTTTCTTGATCTCTTAGGGCCAAAACTTTAAAAGCCCCCTCCTCTAATTCACACGAGAGTTCCATTTCTGCAGCCAAGTCCAGGTAGGAGGAGCCTCTCCATCCCCAGCACCAGTATGAAACTCGGAATCTCTTTAGGCATCTCTCCTGATTCAGTTATAAAGTGAGCTGGGAGCCCCCCAGTTACAGTCCCATCTAGCTGGCAAAACGCCATGGGCAGCCTCAGCCATTGAAGTCTCCATCCCAGCTTTTCAACGGCTTCAGGGCTAACTACGCAGCCCAAGTCCAATAAAGCCAACATCCTTCCCTGGGTCCCTGAAGAGGGCACCACTAATTCCACAGGGATGGTTGCAGGGGCCACACCCTGACTTACCAGGGGTCCATTTTCATTTTCAGTCTCGTCCAAGCTGGTCGGAGCTGCGAACCCCTGAGATCCAGGAAAGGCAAGCCCTTTGACCTCCAAGCCCTTCAGCGTTGACTCTTGGATCCTCAGAGCTGGTTCCATTGCCTTCTCTCTCAGGGCTGTTGTGGCACTGAGATTGGGTTTGCTTGATCGGCATGCCACAGCTTGTTGCCCCTCCTTCCCACACCTGAATGGGGGACTGAGGTCATGTCATGGACCTCAGTCTAGATCTGGCATTGCTTTTTGTGGTCCTGGGGTGTTTTAACGCATGGGAGGGAAGGACTTGCCCTACCCACTGACCCTCCAGCATTGGTCCCAGGCAAGGTCAATCTCCACTTTTCTGCCAACATATATCAGCATTGTAGAGTGCACCCCACAGGGGTGGTAGTCATTGTCATTGAGGCCCTCTTTGAAGCAATTGGTGAGGAGGTCCTTGGACCATGTGGCTAACTGGCTTGCCAACTCTCTGAACTCCTCGGTGTAAGTGGCCACAGGCTGTGGCCCTTGGATGATGGTCTTCATCCGGGTCTGAGCCTTGCACTCTGCCAGTGACTCCTCAACTGTTGGTGAAGGGCTGCCATAAAGTGGTCACAGTTCTAGTTGGGGGGCATTGTTGTTGTGGAGGGAGACCATCCATTCAGTTGCTGCACCCTCCAGAGCCATGGCCGTCTCCCATCTCCAGTTTGACTCCATACTCCTGCATGTAGTCTCAGACTTGCACCAGGAAAAACCCCAGTTTCTTGGAATCTCCCCCATGCTTAATCCCCAAGACTGGGACTTTGAGGTCCAGGTGTCTTTGTGGAGTGGTCCCTGCAGGCAGAGTAACTTAGCAGCTTGGTGTGTGGTGACTAGGAACCTTGAGAAGCTGCCTGTGCAGGAGATTCTTGAGCTCTTCACCCTAACCTTTTGTATCAGGATCAGAACCTGCTTCAATATGGCTTCCTCTGGCCTTTACTTGGGGGGGGGGCATCTTTCCTCTGTCCAACACCCCTTTCCCATCTGAGCCTGATAGCCTTCTTGATGAAGTCTGGCTCCTCTCACCGTTCTGCCTCATCTCAAGCATGCTGCGGTCTAGTGGGAGAGTCGGCCATAGCTCCACTATCCTCCAGCTTACTTCCTATGGTTGGATANTGCTAAGTGGGAAGGAAGGTAGGAAAGAGGGAGGGAAGGAATGGAAGGAGGGAGGGAGGGAAGGAAGGAAGGAAGGAAGGAAGGAAGGAAGGAAGGAAGGAAGGAAAGAAAAAGAATGGCAGAATATTCTGTTAGAAGGGACCTTGGAGGTCTTCTAGTTCAACCCCCTGCTCAGGCAGGAAACCCTATACCATTTCATTCAAATGGTTATCCAATCTCCTCTTAAAAACATCCAGTCTTTGTACTACAGGAAGATACGGAGCGGTAATTGTGAAGTAAAAGAAAAGAAAATTCTCACAGGCGGCCACCTTGTCATCCAATAAATAGAAGGAACAACCACCGCTCACCTCTCAGCACTTTTCTGAAATTTCCCCGGAGCTGAAACCCTCGTTTTTGAGGGAAAGTAATGGCTAATATTATCTTTAATCGTCATGTCAGCCTGGCGTTAAGTGAATTCACAGCCGATGGTGAAGATCACAGGCAGTTTTTGTGAGCTCAGGAATGAAGATGGATGGCGGCTTTTTTTTTTTAAATACGAAGATAAAGATAAATCAGAATTATTCGCGGAAAGGACAAGAACGGCTGGCAAGATCCTAAGTGATGAGGCGATTTCCACGTCCGTCAAATGGATCGATTTTCTTTCAATCGTTTTTTTCCCAGTTTTTCTAATGATACTTTCCCGCGGGGAGACGGGAATTTGTTTGTTTTTTCCATTATTCTAATGTTTAATGAAAGCGGCTTCATGTAGATGTTAAATATTTCATATTTATGACCATTGCAGTGTCCTGGGGTCACTACAACCCCCTTTTGCGACGTTCCAACAAGCCAAGTCAAATGGTCACTAAATGAATCGTCGCGGCATGTATTTATGACGGTTGCAGTATCCCGGGCTCACGTAGTTGTAAAATGAGCGTGTGGTGCAGTGGCCTGGAGGTGGCGCTCTCACCTTACAATCAGGAGGCTGTGAGTTCAATCCTAGGTAGCACAATGAGAAAATATCTGCTGAATAAAACTCCATCCTGGCGACAGGGAAGGGCATCCAGCCAGTAAACACTCTGCTAGCTCCATTTAGTTGCCCCGACTCCACCCTGCAAGGGATTACGGGGTCATTAAAAGAGGATGATGTCGTCGTAAATTGAGGACAGCTTGTACGGCGCACAGACTCAAATCTAGTTTTTAAAAGAGATTCCCCGAGATCAGAGCAGGGGAATCTGTTTAGATCCTTTAATGAGCAATAGGAGTAAAGGATGAAGTTCACCCACGCCTCGCTCCGGTTTTGAAATTAATTGGAGTGGCAGGACAACTAATTAAAACGGAGGAATTCGGGGAATTCACCGTGGGTAAAAAAAAGTTTTTTAAAAAAAATATTCCTCCCTTGCCTCCGGTCGGTGTGATGTTAAAAATAAATTTGCATATTCGCTTGTTAGGGGAACATTAATAAACATTTTGCTCCGCTTAAGTCTCTTTTACAGCAAGGGGTAATTTCCCAAGCCCGCCACAAACATTAAGACAACAGCAATTTTCTCCTATCTTAGACACCGCAGTGAGAGTTAACAGTAAGAGGAGTCGGATGAGCTAGAGATATGCTTTTTTTTTTTAAAAAAATGCTTTTGCAGTCTCGCTCACGGTTAGATTTATTAGTTATTTATTTATTTTGTATCCCGCTTCTATTATTTTTACAAATAACTCAAGGCAGCGAACACACCCCTTCCTCTTCCTCTTTCCCCCCACAAAAACAATCCTTTGAGGTAGGTTGGGGAAGGAGAGAGAGAGAGAGAGAAAGAGAGAGAGAGAGAGAGAGAAAGAGAGCGCGGGGGGGAGGGGGCACAAAGTTGCCCATGCTGAAGGCAGGACTAGAACTCACCGTCTCCTGGTGATTGGCCCAAAGTTACCCAATTGGCTCTCATGTATAAAATGGGACTAGAACTCACTGTCTCCTGGTTATTGGTCCAAAGTCATCTAGCTGGCTTTCGTGCCTAAGGTGGGATTAGAACTCACCGTCTCCTGGTGATTGGCCCAAAGTTACCCAATTGGCTCTCATGTGTAAAATGGGACTAGAACTCACCGTCTCCTGGTGATTGGCCCAAAGTTACCCAATTGGCTCTCATGTATAAAATGGGACTAGAACTCACTGTCTCCTGGTTATTGGCCCAAAGTTACCCAATTGGCTCTCATGTGTAAAGTGGGACTAGAACTCACCGTCTCCTGGTTATTGGTCCAAAGTCATCTAGCTGGCTTTCGTGCCTAAGGTGGGACTAGAACTCATCGTCTCCTGGTTATTGGTCCAAAGTCATCTAGCTGGCTTTCGTGCCTAAGGTGGGACTAGAACTCATCGTCTCCTGGTTATTG